GGATGGAATAATCCAAACCCAACAGCTCTGTCAGACCTTTTTGATGTATGGTAATTGTAATTTTCTGCTCTAGAAAGAATTGCAAACTGTGGTGATCAGTCTTGATTGTAAAATTTCTTCCCAAAAGGTAGGGCCTCCACATGTCCACATCATTAATTATTGAGAGATATTCTTTTTCATAAATAGATAAACCAAGGTTCCTTTCCCCAAATGCCTTACTGAAAAAAACAATAGGTTTCCCATCTTGAATAAGGGCAGCTCCCATTCCCTTGTGTCTTGCATCATCTTCCACAATGAATTCCTTCCGAAAATTAGGAAGGGCCAATACAGGTGAATGGGAAAGGGCATTTTTCAACTGATCAAAAACCTGTTCTGATTCAGGATTCCACTTGAACCCCTCTTTCTTAAGCATTTCTGTCAGAGGTTTACTCAGCATTCCATAACCTTTAATGATCCTCCTGTAATAACCTGTAAGCTCCAAAAAAACCCCTCAATGCCCTGACAATCTTAGGCTTAAGCCATGCTGCTACAACTTCCAACTTAGATGGATCACTCTGCAAACCACCTTGGGAAATGATATGTCCCAACTACTCAATCTGTGTTTGTGCAAAAGAGCATTTACTCAATTTTGCTAAAAGCTGATGTTCCCTCATAGTTAGGAGTACCTCTCTCAAATGGTGCCAGTGAGCCTCCCAGCTAGAACTGTAAACCAATATATCACCAAAATACACCAGGACAAATTTCCTTAGCAAGGGTTTGAATACTTGATTCATTAAGGCTTGAAAAGTGGCTGGGGCATTGGTGAGCCCAAATGGCATCACCTTGAACTCATACAATCCTTGATGAGTTCTAAAAGCAGTTTTGAACTCTTTCCCTTCTTTCATTCTGACTTGATGGTAACCTGACCTTAGGTCCAATTTAGAGAAACTGACTGCCCCAGCTAATTAAAAAAAAAGGTCCTCCACTAGTGGTATGGGAAATTTGTTCTTTACTGTGATGTTATTGAGAGCCTTATAGTCAATGCAAAATCTCTAGAAATTATCCTTCTTAGGCACAAGTAACACTGGTGAGGCAAAACAAGAGGAACTAGGAGTAATGACTCCAGCAGACAACATTTCATCAACCATCTTTTCAATAGTGTTCTTCTGATCATAAGAGTACCTGTAGGGACCCGCATTAACTAGTTTAGCTCCAGGGATAAGGGGAATTTCATGGTCTAGAGTCCTTTTGGGGGGTAGGGCTTTTAGTTCTTCAAATAAGTCTGTGAATTCTGATAATAGGTGGGCTAGTTCAGAGGGTATATTTGGCTGTGGAGGTTATTGTTGGGGTGGTTTTGACCCCTGATTAGTATCTATCACAGTTCTACATTGGACCAAGAACCATTGTACACCATACTTATGCCATTTCTTGATTTGTTTATCAGTAGCAGCCTTCAACAAGATTTTCTTAGTCAGCCCTTTCAAGAATACCTTCCTGCCATTCTTATGGAAGGAGATCCCTGGTGGCCTAGTATGCAACTGAATAGGAGCAAACAAATCTACCCAGTCCATGCCAAGCACCATATCACACCCACCCAACTCCAACAATCTGAAATCCTTTATGAAGTCCTCCTGCTGAATTTGCCAACACAGACCAGGACAAACTGAGCCACTCACCATTTTTTCTCCATTAGCCACTGTCACTTCTAAAGGTTTAGCTCTCAGAGATTTTTTCCTTAATTGGCTGAGCAATTTTGGATCAAGGAAACTGTGTGTGCTTCCACTATCCACTAGGATCACAATGGGTTGTTTTTGAATTGATCCCAGTAATTTGATGGTATTCAAGCCCTCACCTCCTACCACAGCACACAGTGAGACTTCTACTTCTTCAGGGCTTGACTGATTCACTTCTGTTTCCAGTAATTCAAGTAAATCATTACTCTCTTGGTCCTCTATAATATTGAAAGTAGGACCACTGCACTTATGCCCTGGCTGCCAATGTCCAAAACACTTGAAACACCTCTTCTGCAGCTCTCTCAGCTGATTCCTAAATTGGGTGATTTCTGGGCTTTTGGATGTAGTGGATTGGGTTGAGGGGGCTGTCTTTAGGTTGTGGTTGGGGTTGTTGGGGTTATTTGAGTTGGAGCTGTATGTTCTTGTAGGTTGTGCTGGTCTAGGGTTCCAGTTTTGAGTTCTAGGTCCCTCACTTCCCTTCAAACCCTTCTCATATTGCCTAGCCAACCATATGGCATCTTCTAGACTCTCAGGCTTAGCAGTCCTAACAAAACATCTTAAATTCTGCTTAAGCATAGCCACATAGCTGTCTACGAAGTAAATCTCAGTAAGGTAGGGTTGAGTTTGCAAGAGTAAGCTCTTAAAACCTTCATATTCATCAGTATAGTCATCAACACTGCCACATTGTTTGAAGGATGCAAAGTCCTCCATGAGAGAGACCCCACTATCCCCAAACCTTCTACACACAACTTCAGAAAAATGTGGCCAGTGGAAATCACCCCTCAGTGAGTGCACATAGCTCTCGTACCATAGTTCTACCTTGCCAGTAAGGAGGACATATAGCAGGTTCACAATGTCCTGCCTCGGAATGTGGGATAGCAGGAAGAATTTCTCACATCTGAGAATCCACTGCCTGGGATTAGAGTAATCAAAAACAGGAAACTCGCTTTTATACCTCAACAAGAAGTCCTGATTTTGCCCAGCTGTTCCTACTCTTATTCCATCCAACCTCACCCTTATGGGGGCCCAGTCTACATTCAGTCCAGCATCCCATCCAGCTTCTCTAGGGGTCATATCTTCTGGTGCAATTCCAACATTCTCCACTTCTTGTGCCAGAGCCTTGTCAAGTCTCCCTGCGCTTGTTTCCCCTAGAAACTGGGCCTGAACAGAGGATTGCCCAGGCGAATGCCCTGTGATGGGCACAGTGGTTCGATTCAGCTTAAGCAGAGACAACACCTCCACCTTGAAGCTCCCAAACTGGGTAAAAAGCTCAGTGATCGCATCATTTCCCTCTTGGAAGCGGTTATCAATTTTGCTATTGAGCTCGATCACCACTGCTTCAAGCTTCTGTACACGATCCTCCATGTTGAGCTCTGATACCACTTGGAATGCTTTTAGATAGTTGGAGATAGATTAGGTTTAAAGGAGAGAATTAGGGTTTGAGAAAGAGGTAGAAGAGAGATGTAAGAGAAGAAATTATACTGTTATTCAAGGCATAAAATCTCCCTTACAATTCTCAGGGTTTAAATACATGAAAATAAGGCTAAAACAACTCAAAAATTGGATAGCAACAACCCCCCATCTTTTCAGGATCTCAACGAGAGAGGGCTGTTGAGATAAGCTGGAAACGACGTCGTCCGAAGGCTTTTCCCAACTGTCTCCAACGACTAGTCTAACGACGTCGTTCTGGGCTTTGGGCTTCAATGGCTTTTAACAGACTTCGAAACGCCGTCGTTTGAGTCCCCAACTTTCAACCCTTCTCACTGCTTGTCACTTCCTCTTGCTCTGTTGATTTCCACCATTTCCTCCCATTTCCTCATTAGGTAGACAACCATGCAGGGTCGTTACAAATTCGTCAGCTCACTTCTTGCATTACATGAGAACAAACAACTTGTGGTGTGTCTCTGATCTAATGAAGAGAGTGGTTGATACGTTTGGACCGGACCTTAAAGGGCTCAAAGAGATGTTTCCTGGGGGGACTTGTACCTAAACACCCGACACCATTGCATTCATGTCAAAGGTAGTACTAAAGACCTGCGCCAAAGAGTTGATGATGCAATATACGAGATTGCCCTGCAGGCTAGTGTCTCACATATTCAAAGGAACGACGATGAGGTAAGCTGCCCAATTTGCTTGTGTGAATTGGAGGAACGTTACATGCTCGAAAGTTGTCTCCATGTCTTTTGTCGATCGTGCTTGTTGGAGCAGTGCGAGTTTACAATCAGAAGTTGTGATGGCTTCCCATTGCGCTGGGAAAAATGATTCCAAGGGTCCTCATTCCAAAACTCAAATAAAATAAGGGTATCATCCCCTTTCATTCTCTTATTCCTTCTTAATAAGGGAATGAAAGGGGATGATACCTTTATTTATTTGGGTATGAAATTTTTCAATTAAGGAGTATTTGAAACTCATAGTAGTGTTCTAAAAATTTATCAATCAAACAATACCAATCACTTTGATACCCATTCGTTAGAGCTAAACCGTCAACCAAACACACCCTTAGTTAAACAATGACTGTGGTCCTCTCTTAGTGCTTTCTTTGTTGAAATATTAAAATGAGTAAGGTGGTTCTTTCTAGCTATCCCCACAATTTTGTTGGCTTCCTTAATCTTCCCGGGCTCCATGCTGTTTGGTTGGGGGGTTTTGGAATGAGGACAAGAATTATATTGTTTTGCCTGATGGATTAGCTCACTTGTTTTGATCGATCACTTTAAAGTCTTATACTAGTAGCAGTGGCAACTTAGGAGGTCATCGGTAGATCTTCACCGATTAAAGGAGATGATGTAGACTTGTACAGAGTGTCTGGGAACCTAGGATTAACGGGATGACTCGTAATTTACCTTCTCCATTTTAGCATTCCATTTAGTTTAGCGTGAATTTGGATGACTAATGTAACAAAAAAAGATATTTTTAAAAAAGAATGATATGATACTGTTGTGTGCACTTGGTCAAGATTTAAGTGAAATGAGTTTTACTTTCAGAGTATAGAAAAAGGTGCGAGTAATTTCTTCCTCATTATATTTAATTTATGCAAAACATGTACCTCTTTATGCAATATAATGTTGTTATAATTTGCACTTAATCTTACATCAGTCAATGCAATTTTTTATAAGGTTTTTGTGGGGGCTATGAGGCTGTCTAACTAATTTACAGGTAACACATGAATGCAGAGGATAATGACACTCACAAGATATGGTGGAAAACATTTAGACCAAACATTGCTGTTTGTTTATTTTCGTTATATTTTTTTTTTAATGCAATGCTATATTAATTCATAGTAGATCTCTATCAATCATAATGCAGCAAATCATGTCATTAGTGTTCAAGTAGCTAGGCCTTTGATCGGCAATGAACAACACAAGGGCAGGTCTATTCGCGAAACATAAAGCTAATGTCAATAAGTTCACTAGGATAGCTAGATTTGTAATATCGTCTAGAATAAGATCAAAATAAAGAGGAAATACAAAAAAGATCATTCATGCCATTGAAAACAAGCAATAGCATCTTAGCCCAGCAAACTCTTCCAATCTAATGCTGCAAGGATCAAATAAAACATCATTAAATTAGAATAATGATAATTAATTTATAAACAGAACAACTTATATTCCTAGTCATAGCATCCAATTAAGCCAAGAGACTAAGCATATTTCACATAATTAATTTAAAAACAGATCAACTTACATTCCTAGTCATAGCATCCAAGCCAAGAGACTGCAAAGCATATTTCACATGGTCTACAGAAACTCTCGTTGGGCCCACTCCCAATTTCCCTTCTTCCTGCGCCAGCTTATCAAGAGCACTGTACACACATTGCATTTATCCATACAAATCATAATAGACACAAACATATCAACGGAGTAAAAAGATAATTGAAACAATTAATTGTTTAGATTAATATGTAAATGACGTAAAGGTATACATAATAATAATAATAATAATAATAATAATAATAATAATAATAATTTAATAAAAGAAATAAAATTTAAGAAAAACAAATATATATGGAGTCAAATTACTTTTGACACCTTTTCTCACATCGGTGAAAAAAGTGACATGGGAGCCATGAAGCTCCTTAGGACTCCAATTTAAAAAATTAAACTTGCCTATTCGTTGATGGACAAGCAGTGAACCAACGAAACTGACTCTTGTTATTTTAGGAGTCGAAATGACTCTGTAGTAAACTTTTTTATTTTTAAATATAAAAGTATTTTGAAAAAATCATTCTAAAAAACGCTAAGTGAAAAATATTGTAAATGACAATGTTTATATTTTCAGTGGCTTGGAACAAATTGTTACTTCAAACTGTTGATACCAAACACTTTCTTTAGCATTTTGATCTTTGGTTACATCATATTTACTAATCGTCTAATATCTTTGGGTTACATTATAATTAAAATTTTAAATTTTTTACTACTTTATCTAAATTCCTTAAATTAGAAATTTCTTAAATGAACACTGAGCAAAACACCTAAAGGATTGGTACCATTGATTCATTCACTAATCTTCTATATATGTAAAGTTTAGTAACAATAATAATGAATCTCATATATTACAATATATCCATATACTATTACATATTTAAATAAACAAATTCGACATTAAATTATTTATGTATGAACTTCTCATATATAATCTCGGATTGATATACTTTCAAATATTTATTTAATTATAAACATTGGTCATTAACTCATTCGTGCAGTGAGGGTGTAAAACTAGTATTTATATATGATTGTATTTAGACTTGTGAATCATAATTGACACAAACATATATTTATATATGATGATAGGAGAAAGGATTGATACTTACTTACGAACGGTTAACAGAATTAACTTCTCTACGGATTTGCGCAAATGAGACATTGCATCTTCCTCCATTGTTCCATTATTATACCTTTCCAACGCACGGTCAATGATGGGACGGATATTGAAGTTATGGTCACGGTCAATGATGGGGATAAAGACGTTATTGTCTACCATTGCTGAGGAAGGAGATAGAGATGAAGAAATGAGATGCGATTGGATTCCGGCGCGAGAATGATCTGGTTGACATTAACAATTGGATATATGCTAATCAAGTATATTCTACCTAAGTATATCGAATATTATCTGCACAGTATAAAATTCTTTTTGTTTAAGAGAGTAATGGTATAAAACTTCTTTAGTTTAATATGTAAAAATATTATTTGTATGCTTCATATATGATTTTCTGCACATAAACAAATTTTTCTGCAAACAAGTTACCAAAAAAAAAAAAAAAAAAAAAGAGAGAGAGTGAAAAACCAAAACTAAGTCATACATATTAAAAGTCACACACTCATAACTCATTATAAGTCATACACTCACATATCAAAATGTAAACAGATTATGCAGATTAAGGAGGAAAAATTTTCAAAAAACTACATAAAAGTCATAAATCTTTAATTTTCTCAAAAAAAAATAAAAAAAATAGCAGTAAAGTATATCTAGTACTCTATTAGGACGGATCGAAACGGGCGGGGCGGAAATGGTGAGGAATTTTTTTGGGAAAGAGAATCCACGACACTTTTTTTTTTTTTTTCTTTGAATGATGCCAATGAGGAAAAAAAATACTCCATTTTGGCAGTGAAGAGCCCACATAGATTATAGTAAAAATCTCATGGCATGGCAGAGATACATAATTATCGGATCCATTGATCTAGAAGAACAGAAGGAATGTTTTCAAAAAAAGAAGACCAGAACGAATTGAAGCTAAGGATAGAAGAGCTGTCTCCTCAACGCTTTGTAGACCACAGGACTACTGTTAGCAAGTTACAAGAGAGAGAAGAGGGAGGGAGGGAGGGAGGGAGAAACTAAAAGAGACAGATTCTTTACTGGGATATAACGGACGGAGAAGAGTGCGTGGAGACGACGAAAAACAACAGATCAGCTCATAACACTTTACAGTGTAATCTGTTTATTATAGATCCAAAAACATCAATCAAAAAATCCCAAAACTTAGCAAACCTGCCATCTTTGTTGAGCTTCTAACCCAAGACCAGAGAGGCTTAGACAGTCAAAAAATCTAGAAAGCCAGAGAGGAGAAACTTAGGATTTCCTAGGTAGAAACTGGATCTTCCCGGATCTTCTAAAATAGAGAAGACAGTCAAATATCCCCGGATCTAGGGTTTTCTGGACGACAGCAGCGACGAAAAACGCAAAACAGATTAGCTCATAACACTTTACAGTGTAATCCACACCAAAATGAGAATATAAACACAAGATTTGAGCTTATTTCATCTATATTAAAACCCCCAAAATAACATGCATTAAAACAACACAGGAACAAAATAAGCATTTAAAACCTTTAGGGCACATAATGAGCAACCATAAACCATACCTGAACCAAGCAAATCTCCCTAATAAACTCGATCTCCTGCAAAGTTACCACCTGAACCTAGACCAAAGACACACAAAAACACAATGTAAATATAAGCTACCCACTATTACAACTCAAGAGGGGTGAAGGAGGAAGTAAGAGAAGACCTTGAGCTTGGATGTCTGCAAGAAGGGAGTACGGGGGAAGAAATGGAGGAACGGAGGTATATAAATTAAATGGCTTTAAGGTATATTCCAGAAAAGAGCCAGTGTTTTCAAAATAAATAAATAAATAAAGGAAAATAACAATTTCCCCCCTAAGTTATATACTTATAGTATTTTTTTTCCCTTCAATTATTTATGTAAGTACATTAGCCCCCTCAATTGTATTAAATTGATATTTCTACCCTTAAAATAAACATTTTATTTATTTTACTTCTCCAACAAATTATTGTGTATATGTAGCAATGACCACGATTCGGTTCGAACTGAACTGGACACTATAACAATCGAATTGGATCATGAATCATGAACTGGCGATTCCGGATCCGGTTCGCGATTTTGAACCGTCTTTATTTTAAAATTTTATTTTATTTTTTATTTTAAAATAGTCTAAATTCAACAATAAATGTATTTTATTTTTTAGTTCGGAACATGAACCGACCATTCCGGTTTGCGATTTTAATAAACTCTAAATATCGCATTTTGATTCTAAATTGTAATTGGAATATTTTGGTTTGATTGCTATAGTATATGTTTGGTTTGAATCAAATTATAGTAATAATTTGTTGGAGAAGAAAAATAAATGAAATATTTATTTTAAGGGTAAATATGTCCGTTTAATATTTTAGGGAGGAAAAAAGCTACTTAAATAATTCAGGAGGAAAAGTGCTATAATTATATAACTTATGGAGAAAAGTGCCATTTTTCCATAAATAAATAAATACATGCTTGTAAAGTAAAAAAGTATTGTTAATTGTTACTTTCACGTGATGGCCTAACACAATCCAGCCTACCTATTGGCCATGTTTAGTTAGTAGCGGATTCGCCAAATTTTGACAAATTCACTGACTGGTTAACAGCGATTTGGAGCAACGAATTGCTCCAAACCGCTGAATTTCAACACGCTGCATTTATCAACGTGTTGGGTTGGCGTTTTGGGAAAGGAACTTTCCTTTCCCAAAACACCCTCCAACTTGAGAAGCATGAGGCTTCTTTAATAAAGAAGCCTCAGGCTTCTCTATTCTTGCCCATCCGATGTGGGATGGGCATCGGATGGGCAAGAAATTAACATTAAAATTTAAGGGGCGTTGAGTTCCCTTTTATAAGGGAGCCAACGCCCCTTTTTTTATTTGACTTTCGATGTGGGATCTAATCCCACATTTTTTTTTGTTATTATTATTATTATTATTATTATTATTATTATTATATGATTATTATTATTATTATAATATGTATATGTATACCTTTTTGCTCATTTTACATGTTAATCGCTAATCTAAACCAAACATCTTTTTACAAGCCGCTGATATAATCCGCTAGTCAAACCTGCTAATACAATCCGCTATTCGTTAATCGCTAATACCATCCGCTACCGCTATCCGCTAGTCAAACTTGCTGACAAATTTTCTTTCTGACGTTGATTTTTCCTTACTTTGATCTGTAAACAATATTTTCATTAAGTCACTTTAAATGTGGTGCAAGTTTAATGAGCACTTTATGACTATTAAGTGGTAGCATTAATGTTGTAACGGAAATAACGTTTTCCGTTACAAAGCCTATATTGATGGCATATAAGGCTATAAAAGTGTAGGCCCTGCCACTGCTCCGGAACACCTGAAATACACCATCTATACTGTCTGGAGATCAAGTGGGAGACATTGTTGCTATGCAGAAATTGCTACTAGAAGATTTACAATGCAATGCACCAAACGTATCAACTATGGCTGGAGTTTTTCTTGATTCCTACGCTTCCGCTACGAGGTTAGATCATTACAAGTATATGATTATATATTTATTCTAACATTTGGTATCAGAGCCTGTTTAATCTCTGCCTAGTTGTTTAAATTACTTGATAGATACATATTTTGAGTTATATATATGCAGTATATATTTTTACTGTTTTTTCCTTGAAAATATGTATCAAGTGTGTATATGTTTTGTATATAAAATGTATATGCTATACGGATACTCGTTGCCAATAGAATTGTTGCATTTTTAGAGTATATATACATTAATGTATACAAGTTTTCAATTCACTGCATATATACTCATAAATATAATTTGTACATTCTATAAAGTATGTAACTGCATATGCATATATAATTTTGTTTTGAAAAATTATTCATATGCAAATGTGTTCCTTTGCAGATGATTAAATGCATCAATTCATTCCTGTATATACATTTTGTATATGTTTATTATTGAAAAAATTGTTTCGAAAACATTTTATTTGTGTTAAATATTTATACTTGCCGGAATTCCTTTTTGCCATCATTGTCGGCGAAGCATCGTTCCTGCTGCCGCCCATTCTGATGGATGTTGAGTGACACGATCGAGAAACCAACAATGGTGGTACCTTGAGCCGTTAGAGCTATCATCACCACTCCTGGTTCGTGTTCCGGCAGAGGGAGGCAGTGACGATGGTGGTAGCATGACGCTCCAGTGTGAAGGAGGTAGCGACGACGGCAATCCTCCTTGTCGCCTTCCGCTCCGTGTTAATCGCAGGGCCGTAGAGCCGTTTGCTTCCTGTATAAGGAATATCGCAGGGCAGAAACGTTGAGAAGAATATATATATATATATATATATATATATATATATATATATATTTGAACACCGGATCTGCCTTTGTCCATCGTCTGAGCGCTGTTAGAGCTTTTCGACTAGCACCGTTGGGAGCGGTGTTGTAGTCAAATAGTGCCAACCTATATTTGGTTTCTTGGCGATGAGCAGTGCCATTGGGCGTTGCGTCCAGTATCTGCCTTATAGTTGCGGCGTAGTTTGGCGATGATGGCTGTTACAAATGGCGGAGGTTCGGAGAGACCGACGCAGTCAGGCGTGGTCTCAGCGTTCAACGTTCAGCGTTCGACGGCGTTGTAGCCTACTGCTATCTTCGCTGGAGTTGTCTTCCGGCGGTTGACAGTACATGGAAGGATCATTGTATCGCCATTGAGGTATGCAAAGTTTGCCTTAATTTGATAGTTAATTGCTTTGTGTGTAATTTCTTCCGTTTTGGACTCAAGAGGCTGGAGCAATGCAGATTTAAATTTTGCTATTAATTCCTCCCTTTTCTCTATGAGTAATTATCGGCCTGTATTTCCTTTTCTAGATTATAATTATCAAAAATTAATTGATTTTATAATGAAAAATGGAATAATTAAAGGGATATTAATTATCAGTATTTGTATGAAATGTTTTATTGTTATTAATGGCGATTATGTATGCAGAATCTCTTGATTGCAAATTAGCTTTCATTTTTCGTGAATATTACATGGCTATTTTGTATATTACCATTTACTTAATTTTATAATTTTAGATTAATGGTAATTTCAGCTTAATATTAGCCTGATATTACTATAATTTAAAGATTTATTTTCGGTAATATTTAAGATGATTGACAATTGTTGGAATTGTTATGGTAATTAGTAATGTTAGTTGAAGCTGATTACTTTTGTTACCATAAGTAATTGTTTGACACGTTTTCTAGTCATTCAATTTGCATTGTGATTTTGCTGTGGTAATAATGACAATAAAGTTGCAGTCAAGACCCGCTTTTAGTTATGCCTTTATATCAGTTCATTAAAATTGAAAATGTTGGTTATTATATTTTTCAGCTTTAATGATTTTCAGATTTTAATTTTATTAAGTTTTAAATTTTCCGAAAATGTTTTAAAGGCTTGCGGTTTCAGCAATTGCTTTTCCATGTTAAATCTCCTAATTGTTATAATATTATGTGATTATTGGGGCTATTCATTGCAATTTCATAATTTTGCAACTTTGTCATAATTCGATAATATTTTTAATTATGGAGTGTAATTTTGAATAACAATTTTGGAAAATGCATATGTTGGCAATTGAATATTGTTTTCCTTTCCAGTTTTGCCATGATGATTTGGATTATGATGTTAAGAATCATATTTTGAAATTCATTTGAATTTGCTTATCCAAAACTTTTATAGTAATAATGATGATATTATGTAACATTTAATAATAATGATGATTATCATTATTATAATTAAATGTTGTTCGGTCACAATTAAGAAAATTGGTTATTCCGTTATTATTGTTATATAATAATTATTAGAATTATTATAGTAATAACGATTATTGGTTTTTGAACCTGGTAGGGAATATCCCGACCGACACAGCTTCACCACAACCGAGATGCCTTTGTCCTTTTGTCTATGTCTTTGCAGGTAACAGGTCGGGCTCCTTGAGGAGAACCCGGTCGGGGACCGACCGGGAGTTGCCCGAGCGATGCTATGAACCCCGAGCGGTGGTCCTTAGGCGAGAGAGCTGGCTAAAGACACGTGGCGGCTTTCTACGACGACAGGCAGGGCACCCGGGAGGAGGACGCGTGGAGGCTACGTGGAGAGCATGCCGAACGGCCGGAAGCTTGTCTCCGGCGCCGCGGCTATAAGTACCCACAGTAGCTACAGTGTAGAGGACTTTTGGACGATCGATAGGTTGTTATTAGAGAATCCCGACCGCACTCAGTCGGTACTCAGAGCAACCAAGTAGATTGTACTTAGGAACTCTACCTTGATCAATAAAGACATTACTTGCTTTACTTGGTCTTGTGTTATTTATATTGCTTACGTAGAATTAGCAGTATCATTTTGGCGCCGTCTGTGGGAACCGGTGCAACGAGCCAACGTCTTGACGAGCACCCGGTCTCTCTTCCAACATGTATCCGTGGGCACACAACAACTTCGCCGACGACCAGGCGGATGCGGCGAGCTCCTCCGACCACTATGCTACCCAGCAGCAGGGTCAGACGATGGACCTCAACCTCAATCTCTCACCGCCACATCCGTCAAATACGTACCCGGCCGCCCAGCAGCCGGTGAATTATATACAACCGGGATACCCACCACCCGGTCTGCCATACCAGCAGCAGCCGATGATGTATCCCGCCCAGTACCCGTATCCGGTTCCACCTCCACCATACGGGTTTTGGCCAGGCCAACCGATGTGCTACACTTCCCCGGTTGGC